CGAGATACTAGTAAAGACATTTTCGGTATATCTCGTAAACGCTCCAGTGGATTAACATTAATTCTTCCACTACGCTGGACTTGTTACTGACGGAAAAAAAGGAGGATTTGATCTCTTATTTAAGTTAATAAGTCTGATAAAAAAAATATTTTTTACCAACTACACTTCAATTTTTCATGCACAATTCAATTTCAGTTTCTTTTTGTCATATACAATTTAATGAACACATTGTTGGACGGCGACTAGTAACTCGTCATCAACATTTGGGCATGAAATCAATATTTGGAATGTTTTACTTTACTCCCATATTAAATTGCAAAATAATAGCTGGTCAACAAAATGTTAATATTAATTTTATATTTACTTGAAATGTAAGTTTTTAGGCAATTAACCGAATAAACATTTTTGTCGCTAACAGTTTTTTCGAAGCTCGTCCGCCAAGGAAAATAAAAAGCCACAGTTATATACACCGAAGAGCCATTACATTATGACCACCCTGCTAATAACATGTAGGATCACATTTAGCTCTCAAAACTGCTAGCACCCGCCGTGGCATTGATTCCACAAGGTGCTGATAGGTAGTCTGAGGTATCTGGTACCAAGCGCTCACCAACTGGTCCTGCAATTCCCTCACATTGCGAGGGGGTAGCGTGGCAGCACGAATTTGGTTTTCCAAGTAGGACCACAAATGCTCTATTGGATTAAAGTCAGGTGAATTTGCGGGCCAAGACATGACTTGAAAGTCACTGGAATGTTCCTCGAACCAATCCAAGACGATTCGACCCTTATGACATGGTGCACCATCCCCCCGCAGGAAAAACTGTTGCCATGAATGAGTGAAGCTGGTCTGCAACTATGTTCAAGTAGCTTACAGATGTCAGGGATTGTTCTATGAGGATTATGGGTCCTAATGTGTCCCATGAAAACATTGTTTCTGGGCGAGCCCATTGTTATAGATAGAGGGTGGTCATAATGTAATGGCTCCTCGGTGTATAATATAACATATACAGAACGGACAAATAGGTACATGTTTTCACTAGTTGCCCATTTAATGCAATGTTAGAATATGAGTGCGCAACCTGCGGCCAGTGAAAACTTTTAAACAGAAATTTTTTTTTTTTTTTTTTTGAAAAATAAAGTTTTGAATCGCACATTTGAGTTATCACTATTTGATACCCTCAATTTTCTAAATCTATTGTAAATCTAAGTTGTTTCGTGATCGCTTTTCAACGATTATTGTTACGAAATTACACATGGTTTTAAAAATCCAATATTTTAAATATATAATGATCGATGAGCGAATTTCGAAATTTGAGTAATCACTTTTCATCATAAATCCAAGTGACTTTATTTTTGCCACTTATATGCGGTTTTTAAAATTTAGATACATTTCTTTATTCATTACTTGATACTGATACATTCATACATATTTGACTCGAGAGTTATAAATCGCGCATTTAATTTATTACTTTTAGGCGTGCTTTATTTGTGCCGTCAATCTCATCAATTTTTTCATTTTTTTAAAAGTCGTCATTGCTAAGCTTTTCCAGTTAATTTTAAAAATCCCGTATTTTTACTACAATATTATTACGACACGAGAGTTTCAAATTGCACATTTAAATAACCACTTTTTGAAGCATTCCCATGTTTTTTTAAGAATTTCGATTTTTAATACGAAGTACGAATTCTAAATCACGCATTTAAATAATTACTTTTTGCTGTGCGATATTTGTGCCGATTTTATCGTAAATTTAAGCGTTTTTTTTTTCTTTTGCAATTATTTCGATACATAACTTTTTACTACTATTCATTTGTGCATATTTCATCGTAAGTGTAAGTTACTTTTCCGCCGTGTTTTGTTAGCCTCAAGCATTTGTAAGTGCTATTCAGAATCCCGAATTGTAAAACAATGTTAATGCAACCTGAAAAATTCGAAAAGTTGAGGAAAACTCGAATTTGCTTACTGTTTAGACTTATTTTGTTTTAAATTTTTCGTACCGTAGGTGAGTTTTTTAACGAAAGAAAAACAGTTTCTTATTTAAAATTCATAATACCTCAAATAAATCAAAAATGTAAATAAAATATGATTGGCAACAACTTGAGATTCATCCTTAATGAGCTGAAGACAATGATGCATGAATAAACGCCCTATTACAATTTCATATTGGAGAGCAGATAACAATAACAGGGTAACCACAGAAAAAAATGAACAAAATAGTTGCTTTTAGTAAGTAGCCTAAAGCATGAAAATAGTAGCCAAAAACTAGGAATATAGTTGCCTAAAAAAGAACAAAAATTCATCAAAAATATGACTAAAATTTTGTTAATGACTTAATTGTCATATAATATATGTGTGTATGAAAAGTGATTACTCAAATTCGAAATTCAAGCATAGTAATATTGTATTAAAAATTGTTTTTTTGCTTTTTTTAATCATGCGGACTTTCGTAGCAATAATCATTGAAAAGGCGATCGAGAAATGAAATAGACTTACAATGGAATATGTGCAGATCGAACGAATTAAAAAGTGAAAACTCAAATTTGCAATTCAAAATGTTTTTTTTTTTTTAAAGTTTAGTGTGTTCCAAAACGATCTTGTGGGGTGCAGATTTTCCACCCAATTTATGCTTTAAAAAAGAAGAAAAACATCGCTAGGAGTACAGAAAAGTCTCACAATAGTCTCCTTTTCCTGAAAATACAGACAAACCTCGATATAAGGTCATCCGCATATAAGGTCACTTTTCCAAAGTCCGGGTTCACGGAATAGGAATTCTTTGTAACAGATCATCGGATATATGGTCATGTTTCAAAAAACCTTTATCGCTTATAAGGTCATTTTTATCTGAGGCGAGGGGAGCTCTTTTCTCCCCTCTCGAGTTCTAGGAAAATGTTGCAGTCAACGAACACACCTGGAGAGAGTTTCCACCCCCCAGTTCACAAAGAACCCCAGCTTTCACTGCCAGTAATTGCTCGTCCCTGTCCATAGTTCCAGGGAAGGGGCTTTCGCCATTCGAGCGAGAATAAAGGATAAGCTTTCCCATCGCGTCACGTGACCATTTGTTGACCACACTAGAGGAAAGAATTTCATTCGAACCTCTCTCATCGTGTCATCATGTTGGCAAAGAGAAAGACGTTCTATCAGAGAAAGAAAAAAATCGCTGAGGATTTTGAAAATTCAAATTTATCAAAAGCACGTTTTGCGGAAGGACGTGGTATACGAGGGTTGCTATTTATATTTCTGGCCTAATAATGATAAAACAAATATGTAGGATCGAAATTGGTTTTATTGTTTTTCAAAATATTCTCCATGATGATCAATACACTTTTGCATGCGTTTGAAACAATTTTCAAAGCACTTTTTCCAGTCTGATTGAGGTAACTCCAAAACATGCGTTTTGAATGCATCAACCGCTTCTTCAGGGGTCGAAAATTGTTGTCCACGTAATTTATTTTTGATATGTGGGAATAAGAAGAAGTCATTGGGTGCCAAATCAGGGCTGTACGGCGGATGACCCATCAGTTCGATCTTTCGCTCCGTCAGAAATGCCTTTGTTTGAGTCGATGTGTGAGAGCTCGCATTGTCATGATGAAGAATGATTCGCCTGTTCTTCTGCTTTTTTCGAATTTCTCCGATGACTTCTGGCAAACAAATGGTCGTGTACCATTCAGAATTGACCGTCCTGCGTTGCTCTAACGCCACTGTTGCCACATGACCGTTAATGCCGAAGAAACAGGCAATCATTTGTTTCGATGTGCTTTTTCCTCGAACAACTTTTGTTGGTTTTGCCTCGTCTTGGAAGACCCATACAGTTGATTGCTGTTTTGTTTCCGGCTCATATGCATAGAGCCATGATTCGTCACCTGTGTAGATGTTATACACAGCCTTTGATGTACCTTGAACGTATTTTTCCAACATTTCCTTGCACCAATCGACACGAGCCTTTTTTTGCGCGTTTGTCAGATTATACGGGATCCAACGCGAAATTTTTTTTACGCTCAAATGTTCATGCAATATTTTATTGATGCTAGTCATACTAATGTCCAAAGACGCCTCTATCTCACGGTATGTCACATGACGATCTTGCTTTATCAGTTCACGCACAGCATCGATCTTTTCTGGCACAACAACGGATTTTGGACGACCTGCACGGGATTCGTCCTGGATCGAACATCGACCACGATTAAATTCGTTATACCAATTTTTTACAGTGCTGTAGGATGGCGCTTTATCGCTGAATAAAGAATTAAATTCATCGAAGCACTCTTGTCTTGACAATCCACGTCGAAAGTTATGAAAAATAATGGCACGAAAATGCTCACGATTCAATTCCATTTTTTGAAAGAGAAGAACTTTTCAAATTACTGTGACAACACAAATGAAGCTTATAATGGTTAATTGTCTGCTGAATTTATGTTTAAAAATATCAAACTTCCGATTAAAATCGTCTGCGGTCACCTAGAACACTTACTGTTGCCAAGGCCAGAAATATAAATAGCAACCCTCGTACCACGCACCACCTTAAACAATATTCTGTCTTCTCATCGCATTGGTAATGGGAAAAGAAAAAGAATGCGTTTTTCCCCTTATGAGAAAATTGAAGAAGCCTTTCTCCAATGGATAAAAATGGCTAGGGCTCAAAATGTTCCGACATCGTGTTCAGTATTGAAAGAAAAAGCTCTGCAAATAGCCGCGGAATTGGGAGAACCTAATTTTATGGCGAGCAATGGATGGATTCAGAGATTTAAAGTAAGGCATGCTTTAACTTTCAAGACAGTATGCGGTGAAGCCGGAGGTGTTGACGAAACTGTTTTGAATGACTGGAGGAAATCTGTGTTAGAAGATGACATCTTGAAACGGTATAAGCCATGCGATGTATTCAACGTCGACGAATGTGGTCTTTTTTTCCGAGTCTTACCTGAAAAAACTAGCGTTCAAAAATGAGAAATGTGTAAGTTGCAAAAAAAGTAAAGAAAGACTTACAGTATTTTTAGGGGCCTATATGGATGGCTCTGAAAAATTGAGATCTCTTGTTATTGATAAATTCCAAAAGACACGTTGCTTTAAAAACGTGAAATCTTTACCAGTGGATTACGACACTAACAAAAAAGCGTGGATGACCGTCAACATTGGGGAGAAAACAATACGGCGTTTAGACAGGCAGTTTGTGAAGAAGAAGCGAAAAGTTGTTTTCATAGCAGACAATTGCACAGCTCATACCAACATCCCACAGTTAGCCTCGATTGAGCTTGTTTTCTTGCCTTCCAATGTGACCAGCGTTCTCCAACCATTGGATCAAGGAGTTATTCAAAACCTAAAAGTGAACTATCGTAAGCTCCTCTTGAAGGACTTAGTTGCTGCCATCGACCAAAAAAAGGAGTTTCATGTCTTGGATGCCATTTTCTATGTGCACAAAAGTTGGAACATGATGTCCACCACATGCATAGCGAATTGTTTTCGTCAGGCTGGTTTTGTGAGTTCTCTGAATATCGTGGATGACGAAACCGAAGAAGACGATATTCCTCTATCTGGTTTGATGGAATATTTGAAAAATCGTGGCCATGCCATTGAAGGGGAGGCTGAATATGGTTTGGTTGATGAGGAAATTGCCACCACTTCTGAAGCTACAATTTCTGAAATTGTGGACAGTGAGGACAATGACAGTGATCCTGAGACTGTAGTTGTAACCCAAGTGGAAGCCTTCAATGCAATAAATGCCTTACGAAATTTTTTTACAAACCATGAGGGAGCTGAGGAACATTTTGAGAAGTTTCAAAATCTAGAAAACATTGTTCGAAAAATTAAACCAAAAACGAGACAGACCTGCATAAATGATTATCTTAAATAAGGAAAGATGTAATGTATGTATGTACACTTTGAGGAAATTTGTAAACAACTTTATTTTAAATGAAATTTTTAAAAAAAAATCTAACTTTAATTCTTTACTAGTTCTGTTAAAATTTATTGACTTAAATATTTAATTTATTAGCTTAAATATTAATATATTTAATTTATTGACTTAAATATTTATTTTTCGCTTGTAATACCATTTTTAAAAATCATAATGTGTACTATTTACATGCTCAGTTACGAACTGCTAATGAATCGGTTAAAAGGTCACTCCGCTTATAAGGTCACTTTTGCGATTCCCTTAGGGTGACCTTATATCGAGGTCTGACCGTAGTTGCTTTTATAGCCTTTTCAGGCAAAAAAAGTTGCCATAGTCGCCTCATGCCAAAAATAGTTGCATTTTAGTCGCCTGTGGCAACCCTGCAATAATCACCTAGCCCCCAAAACACATGGGCGGACTTTTCCAGCTCTAAAAACCAAGTTAGAATGAATACAGGACCACCAGCAAACAATCAGAGACTGTACACTCCTCTATCAGCCCCCCCCCCCAGCCTTAAGCATGGGGAATCAAACCATAGTCCAAGCTTGAACATACCTCAGTTTCTTAGACTGAGAACAGATAACTGGAACGGTAAAACAGCTTTGGTGGTCGAGAGTAAACATAGTACTACAGCAAAGCGTTCCTTAAATAACAAATACGAGTCAAATACTTAATTGTTCATATCCAATGTGTTGAATTATGTTTTTTCTCTTCCTTCAGAAGACACTGCAAAATTTTGACAAAATCTTAAATTTAATCTAACACTTGGATGGGTTTACAAACACTCATTAACTGGAAACATCAGTTGGTTACTTCCAACTTTCTCGAATCAATAGTTTTTTTAAAATAAAAACTAAGATTTTTCTTGTACGATTAAAGTTTTGTTCATATGAATTATTTCAAATAGTTTCGCTTATATAATAAAATCATTCAAAATAAAAAATTCTGAAGTATACTTGTTGCACTTCAGTAGGTACAGATCATGAAGTGGATATCGAGCTTGCTTTTTATTTTTTTTCCCAAAGAGAAATTACTTTCAAAACTTTTTCTAAGAGAATTTTCTTCCAATATAATAATTACAATAATGCTTAATTTTAAAACCATATGGAAGAACATTTTGTTTAGAGAAAAAGGATGTCATATTGTTACTCTTTGGATAAATAAAATTATATATATATTAAAATAAGCATCGACATTTATAATTTGAGCTATTTACATATTTATCTATATTAGAATGAGTTCTAATCGAGTGAAATATTCACTTTAAAGGTAAGAAATCAATGATGTCATTGATGTTTTTGAATTCCCTCATTACATGGGATGCTGACAAAAAAAAATTTGTGATAAATTGCCAGAACATTCTTAATACACGAAACATCTTCCTCTGGTCAAGTTAGATGAAAAAAGAACAAAGCTTAGTTATTAAGGGATTGAAGCCTGTCAGAAAATTTCTTAAGGTGTTTCGCTTATTTCTACAACCAGGTCTAAAATCTACCAGGATTTAAACATGAGAACGGAGATTTTTATACTAATACATTATAAAGTAAAAAGGATGCTAGAAAGTTTTTGAAATGAAATACTGATTCTTGTCTGAAGATATTTTTAATATCAAACATTAATAGAAATGAAAACTCATAGTTATCCATTGTTTTTATTAATATTAATTTAAAAGAAAAAAGGGGGGGGGGTTGTCTGACCAAAATATTAAGTTGCCATTTTTACAAACTGAATAAAAAAGTATTGTTAAGATAAATCGGGTTACTTCATATCTGACAATCCTTGCAAGTTCATCATCAATTAGAAAAGCTATAAATAGCCATGTATGATTAATTATACATAACTACATAAATATATCTTCAAATTTAACCAGAAGTGAACATGTGCTAGAAGAATGGGTTATCCATCGCTAATAAGTATACCAATTTACATTTTTTAAAAAACTTTGATTTTTTCCTTTCTACACAAGTAAAAAAAATTTTTTATAAAGAAAATAAAAAAGTTTTTAGATTACTAAATAATTTGAAATAACTTAAAATCCTCATTTTATCATTTAATGTGAGGCCATAATTACAGATTAATAATGAAATAAATAAAACTTTAGATTAAATAAACAGTTGAATAATAAATTAATTTTTCAATTTATAAGCATCACAATTTAGTTCAATGTTTAATCATTTTATTAAAAGAAAGATATTTTGAGTTATGTTTAAGAACCATTTTAAATTCAAGATTTTAAGTTTTTATTGACTAAAATAATTTATTGTATGATATGCAAATTATGATTTTTTAGGATTAATTGCATTTTAATCCAAGATAATAAATTAATAAAATTATTTAAATACACTGTATAATTTTGTACTTAAATAAAATTAAATAAAAGCGTGGTCAATTATTTGCTTCTAGAGTTTCGTATTTTATTATATTTTAATATCAAAACACTAATAAGTGCATAAAGAATGAAAAGAAGTATTACATCATTTTTAATCAATGCAAATAATACATTTCATATCTAATTTAATTGATAAACCTATTGATCATAATAACTTAAGCATTTAATTATATCTGTCCTCTGTATGGGAAAATAGGTCGTGAAGGTTCGTCATGGGGCCAGAAGCTTGGATCCTTGTAAGGATGCAATGGAGCATCTGGGAAATAATCATAAAACTCTTCTTTAGACATTTCAAAGAAAGGCATCATATCTTTCCACCATTGCAGCTGAAACAAAACATAACAGTATAATTATGAAAGTAAATTTACCACAAAATAGAATCTTAAACAAGAATTTTCATCAATGCAAAAGAGGGACCATCAAAGTTGAAACAAAATGTAAAAGAATTAAAATGAATGCAAATTTATAATAAAAGAAACCAATTATAAATAAAAATTTTATATCATTGTGAAAATAACAGAAAAGAAACACATGGAATATGTACTAAGAAAGCATAGAAACAATATATGGTAAAAAAAAATAAGCATTCGGAAGATTTTATCTCTTAAATCACTGAAAAAATGTGTATTTTTGGAAAAAAATCTTAATGCCTATATGGATGATATAACATGTTTAGCACCCAGTGTCAAAAACATAGGCTAAAAAAAAACATAAAATTTCATTTAAGTACTGTTATAAATATAATATTGTAAATACCACCACTCTTTAGAAACAAAATTCTAACATTTAATCAATATTTAAATTAAATCAATATTTAAATTAAAGGCCTTAATTAAAAGACAGTCCTTTTAGGAACTTCTCAAGATTATGCTATTTTAAATTTTTTAAGGCCATTAGAATTAGGAAATTATAAAAATTGAGTCATAACAGAAATATGTCAGGACATTCATTTAATTATTTAGTACGGATTCAATATACAGTCGAACTTGTTTACGTTGAATCTCAAGGGATAGGCAAAAAATGTTAGATCAAGAGGTTTCGAGTTATACAGGTACGGTACTTTAAAAAATTAAATTTAATTAAGAAATTCTATTAAAAGTGCATTAATCGTCTGAAGTAGAAAAAATAGGCATTTCTTCAAATAAATTATACCACATACATCTATTTACATAAAAAAATTTTAACATACATTTAACACTGAAAATAATTTTTCAAAGATTTTTGACATATAACCTTATTTGTTTCGATTATTCTTGTAAGGTTAGAAAGAGTGCAAATTCCTCATAGCCAACACTTTCCTGGAATTCAAGAATATTTTATTAGAATTCAACAACTTTTTCTACCCCTTTTGCATTCACTTTTGGTTCATCAATATGATCTTCCCTTGACATTATCTATGATTTTCACGTCTGTCCACTAGTGAAAATCTTCAAAATTGATGTCAACATTAAATCCAGATTTTATTGCATTCCATTCTGGCAAATCTGGCACTGCCTTTTCAGCATCAACAGTTTCTTCTTTACTGATGCCTTCAACCTCTTGCTCATCATCTTCACAGCTATTGATAAAACAAGCTTTTTGAAACAATTTTGGTAAAGCCCATTGTGCAGCTCTAGTGCGACATAAATGAACTACAACAAAACCATTTTGGATAGACACATTTCTCCAGGCAAAACAGTAATTCTGATAGCATCTATTTTTGCGTGAGAACTTTTTTCATTGATGGCAGAAGTTTGTGTACCAATGGTTCACTTTAAAACTCTTAATTATCCTTTGATCCATTGGTTGCAATTTTGAGGTGAAAATGAATTTCTATTCTTAGCTTTCTAATCTATGTTGAAAAGCTAACCCCTGGTGGTCACTACTCATTTACACCTCACTTACTGCCAGAATCATTGTATTCCTTTCCAGTTAAAGAAATGCAGGGATAGTGATTAAAATTCCAAGATACATCCCCAACCTATTCAACCCTACTTCCTGAGGGTTCACGAAATTCATCTCTATCTGCAAGTTCTACTGATAAAGAAAGTTTGGACAATTGGCTCTATTATTAGAAATTCAAGAAACAGATGTTTTGGAGAAAAAAAATTAGACATAAACATGGAAAATACATTGATTATAGACAGTAAATGTAGGGAATTTTAGTAATTTTGAGATAGAGGTTTTCGAGATTAACAGGTTCAACTGTATAAGGATACTATTCGGACAATTAACTGCAAAGAATTTCTATTTCATTTATTTAGCTTTTGTAATCTGTAATCAATGGAAATTTTAAGCGAGCTTTTCATATTTATGCTCTACATAATAAAAATTTTTTGTAAGAGCAACAGTGTTAAGTTTCTTAATACTTTTTGATACTAATGGAATTGGTATTTTAAAAAAAAGCATTCAGAGAACCAAACAAAATTTTACTCTTTTAACGATTTTTTATAAAAAAAAAGAAACTAAAAAAAGACAATTATTGTTAAATTAAGACTATGAGTAAAAACAAAGTGCTGAAACTCCTGAATAAAGTTTTATAAAATTTTCGAAAACTAATTTATGGTTCACCAACTAGACGAAAAACTTACTTCAAAATTAATGAATTTTAATTCATATTTGGATTTTTAAAAAATCAGTTCAGAAATGAGAGAAATAAAAAAAAAGCAACATTTGCACTTAAATCACATTTTTAATAATTTCACAGTTTTTGTGCTTTATTACAATTATTATTATAATTTTTTTTTGAAGTTTTAAAAAAGATTAATAAAAAAAGAAAAGAAATGAACAATATAATAACAATAGCTCTTAAATAAAAATAAACCTATATAAGGATAGAAGAAGAAAAAATTAAAGCACAAAATACAACAGTATGTAAATAAAAACAATTGTGATCTTTTACAGTTTGCAAAAGACTAGGGAATAATTTTAGAAATTATAAGATGTAAATAAAATAAAAAATTTAAAAAAACGTTTGATACGCTGATACATTTTTAAAATTAGAGTATAATTTTATTAGTACATTAATTCTTTTATTTTTAATTAATATTTAGTAACAAAACCCATATAAACTTAATTTTTTTTAAAAATTTTTTTGCAAATTTAAGTATTTTTCCCTACAAAAAAAATTATAAATAAAAAAAAGTAATTTTCAAATAGTTATAGCAACTCAAAATAATGGAAGTTAAATAACTACACATGTTGATAGATATTTTATGCTTTAAATTATAATTATATTAATTTAAAATAAGTTCATTTCTCTGGAAAAAAGAGAATAATCACAAATTTTCCAATCAATAATGTTTTAAACTACTAAAATGATATATTATTACATTATCATTTAATTATGGAATAATAATTTTGTTAATTTTTTTGTAATTATTTATATTCATAGTATATATTTCAATTTTAGGAATAATTTTGTATCAAAAATGTGTTTTTGTCCTCTCATCTTGGAAAAGATAGGTTTTTGCCACTTTTTGCCAATTTGCTTGGCAAAAACTTGTTTTTGCCAGGACGGTTTTTACCGGTATTTACCATGGTTTTTTCCACCTGCGGCAAAATCTTGCCAACCCTGAGTTAAACCAATTTTCGAAACTTGTCATATAAAAAACAGTATTTTCAGAAGAAAAACAATTGGAGGTCACTAAAAGTACTTATTTTTACACAAGTCGGACTACTTCACCACTAGAGATGTGAGGTAAAAATATTTTTAGAGATGAATATTCTCCTGAGGATGAAATGTAACGAATAATATAGAACAGAGCATAAAATTTTAGTTCTAAAGTACAAGCCAAACTAAAATTTTGTTCTCCAATATTTTCTTCAAAAATATAAACATATTTTGAAATGTTAACAGATAATAGCATAAAAACTATTCAGCAAACAAAATCAAAAAAACAATAAAGAAAGTGAAAAACTAAAACACTGCTATTTCTGAAAGATACTGATATTAGTTTAAAAGAAAGTTCCAATGTTATCCACAGATTTCAAATCATCACAATACAAAAAATAACAGAAAATTAAGAATCATCAGAAATGCTACCATACTTTTAACACTTCCTACTTTCATATTGCAGCCCTTTGACACTAAAATAGAATATATCAAATTCAGGCCAAGCATAAAATTTTATTACATCAGAGTCATTTTATAGAAAAATCCGAGCAAATCGCAAAGTGTCTCTGTCTTCCAACAGCTTTACAAGCTAAGCTGTTTTCAGTCTATTATGACTATTGAAGATTCTCTCATAGGAAGACTAAGATCACTAGTAGAATAGCACGAAAACCTTATGAATCTGAAGCATATTTGGGAATCTTGCTTTAACACATTCTTAATTGTCATTGTTAGTGAAACATGAACACAATATCCACTTGTTTATAACAGTTTTTGTTTTGAATACATAGAGGGTTTTTTTATTTCCTTTAACCCAAAAATAAAGAAATTTTTCTTTAGAAGGCCAACTCAAGGCCTCAAAACTACATGGAGAAGTTAGCATATTTGTTGACACAGATTGCAGTTGTTCTGTGATGATCATCATTGCATATTTAATTAATCCTCCTTTCAAAGTCTGAAGCTATTGCTCCCCATTTTTAATATTTATCAATCGCAAAAATAAATCAGAAAAATATGGTAGTCTGACTTGAAACACAACATTTTATATGAGAAAATTTAGCTGCCTGGCCTAAATATTTGGTTGCCAATGGCAAGCTAGTGCATCTTATCTTATTCCTTTTATTTAGCTATTATATTCTGAAAAAAAAAAGTAAATTTAACGAATTAATAATTTTTAAATGTGCTAAAATTTATTCAATCCTTATGATTTTGACTGTTCCTGTATTAAATTTTTTTAGAAAATAATCTATAATAAAATTTGAGATATTAATTCCTTTGTAAAATGCTGTCAATTATATAAATATTGAAAAAGAGAATATTCCCCTAAAGATTATTACTGAGACTTAAGTCATTGATTAATAAAATAAGCTTAATCAAAAGGCATTTTTTCTTTTAGACATTGAAAGAACATTAAAATACTAAAAAGAAATCGACATCCAAGGCGAAACATAGGAATGGTTAGTTACTTAAAGCTTTGCTTTGGCAGGAGATAATATAAACAGGAAGACATTCTGTCACTATTTCCCATTCATGTTATACATGAATTTTCAGTTAAGCACATGCAACACGCTTTTAAGAGTTAAATTTAGTTTTTGGCATTTAAATCTTCTGATATTTATTTTGACTATAAATTCTTATTCTCTTTAACTGCGAAAAAACTCATAGTCCAAAAATTTTTGTTTTGCAGAAAATGATCTCTTTCCATACTTCCAGATGAAGCATAATCAAAATGAAGAATTAAACTTTTCAGAATTAAGAAAATTTTAATTTTGCTTAACAAAAACTTTAGAGTTTAAAGCTAATACTTACTCTTTTGTTGAAATATTGAATTTTCAAGTCTGCAAGTTCCTTGCATTCCTTAAGATCATTATCCTAAAAAAGTGGAAAAGAAAAATATTACTCAATAAAAATATTTTTACTTTTTATTTTAATTCCCAGCCACTAAAGAAAGTTTAATACAATTCTTTTCTTAAATAAAGGTATTAGTTGTTCATTTATTATGTAATATATATATGTATATATAAACACTGCAAGATGCCGAATAAGCATCACTAAGTTTTTGATGAGATGGAGTAAAGAGACTTGAAAAAGAGAGAGAGAGAAGAGGATTAAATTCACAATGCTGATAAATGTAAAATGAGAAACAGTCAATCTTCTTTATTCATATTCAATGATTTTTTTTTTTTTTTTGATTCTCAAAGTTTAACAGTTGATTAGGAAATCTCAAAAATAAGTTCCATTAAAAATTTGTTTTATTTACTTTTTTTTAATATATATATTGAAATGTAGATGGTAAATTTCTTTCACAGAGGAAAAATCCCTTTTGGAAGAAATAGGCTTCTTTCAACCCAAGTCAAAGAAACTTTTTATGTACATCAGGAATATATATCAGGGGTAATTGTGACACTAAGTGAAAAACCTTGAAAATTTCATGATCAAAACAAAAACTCTGTATCAATTTATATACCATACATGTTTCCTGCTTAACATAAATTTTCCTGTTTAACTAAGATTTATAATTAAATTTATAATTATGACTAGACCTTTGGTAAATGTCCGAAATATATACTAGGTCTAGTTAAGTGCCACTGCCCGGTATACATTTGCCCAGTATATCCTACACTGATGTTTTTTAAAGGTTCAGTGCCACTGCCCGGTATACCCTACACTGATATTTTTATAATGTCAAGTGCCATTGCCCGGTATATATTTGCCTGATACTCCAAGCACTGACGTTTCTCCTAATCTATCGTCAGTAAGTATTAAAATATCGAATAAATGTAATCTATCGTCAGTGAGTATTAAAATATTGAATAAATGTAATTATATCCACAAATAAATTATTATCAAATCGGATGTAATAAATATTTCGGGCTTTCACCAAAGCGACTATGTGAGTGTGAACATTTACCGGTGAAAGTCTAGATTCTCCAGATTTCGGCCATTCACAGTAACATGCATTTCTCAAAAATAAAAATATTATTTTTCATTTTTGAATGACATTTTGACGAATCGAAGATGTATTTTATACTTTGAAGGTTTCTCATTTGGCATTCTTTAGAATGTCTGGTAAATGTGTGAAATATAAATCGTTTCATACACTGCCGGCTAGTTTTAGGCATTATATACAATGCCGAGGCTGTCTATAGAATGTCGGATTCCAAACTTTGCCAGTGACATATACACATAATTCTTCGAAATATAAATTTACATATCGATCTAGATACGAGTGTAATAATTTATTTTAACAAAAAAGTAAAACAAAAATTACAATTACAAAATTTACAATTCAGTGCAAGATTAAAATAAATGTGGAAAAAGTTATTTTTAAAAAAATTTTAAATGAAAAACTACTTTAACTACATTTAATTTCAATCCTTCACTTCAGTTTCCTTGAAATTAAGCTCTTAATTAGTATACAAATTTCTTGCCATGTAAAAAGTTGCCAGCAATAGTATAAAAATAATCACGGATAAAAGTTCAATAAACTGGCAGCAATTGAATTAGAAGATAAAGAGAACAGATCTCCAGAAACTGAAATAAGCTTCGTAACCCTTGTAACCACAATATCTCTGAACAACTTCATTTCATATAATTGAAATTTTTTTCACCTCTTCACAATAATTCTATTAGCTAATGATAAAATTGAAAAAACTTGTAATGTTGTATGGATTAAAATTCAGTAAAATTTCTGAATAAGGGACAATTGCAAAATTGTGCTTACGTGAACAGTGTTAAGAGGTAGCCGTTTTTTGGAGTTAAACAAAATTGGTTGGTTCAAAGAAAAAAAAGCATATTTACTAACAAGATGACTCAAATAAACAGGTAACTTAGCCTTGATTTATTACCTTATAATTAATATTTAAAATAAAATCTGATGTTCATAGCTGTTTCTTTTATACTTAGAAAAGCAAAAATTTTTACCACATTACCTATAATGTTAATATCATACTGTTAGTTTTATAATACAATTCATCATCATTATTCAGATAAAAAGTCAGAATGTTTTGAGTAAATCGAAATAAGATTTTATTTCAGAGTTACTCAGATCTATTTCAGTTACTTGTACTAACTTTTATCTTTGTTGTCTTCTATCAGTGTTTCGATAGTTTTGTTCATGAAAAAAAACCACTAAATTTCCATCAACATAAACAAAATCACTCGGTTGCATATTTTTTATCCCAACTTGCGTGAATATTTCTGTGAGTTCTTTGCCTTCTTCACTTTTAGTTACCTCGTTCAGTATCTGGATCTCAGAAAAATTTGTAAATCATGTTTAAAAAAAGCATTTTTAAAAGCTTCAAATTTCACTATTTTACGGTCAGGCTAATCCAGTTCATCGCATCTAATGCATTTAACAATTCAGTACTCATTCAAATTCAGATGCGAATTCTGACACAAGAGAAACTAATTTTCTCATTCACGTCTTTGTATATTATAGCTTAAATGTCTAGACTACACCCTGATCTGTAGGTAGTTAACAATAGCTTTGCTCCTTTCGGTTTAGTCTTTGGAGGCAGAAATAAAATTTTCACATCACTGAAAGATTTATCTATTAAAAGATACTTAGCATCCTTAAAAAAAATGTTTCATTCTTTATTTTCTTATTTTGTTTTAAAAGCCACTCAGTCATAATCAATTAAATAAACTATACACCAATTGCTTCCTTCTTACAAGTGCTGGCAATTTCTACAGATTAGCCTTACTTTCAACCGGGGCCAAAGAACTTATCCTGAATGTCATTGGTGCTCGACAGACATGGCCTCCCCTGCGCAGATTCTGACTTGTTTGGGGTTCAGTAAATATGAGGTACTGTGAGACTCCAGTCCTTTTATGGACTTTTTGGAGGTGTTCGGATTCATGGGAGTCGTCTAGCGCTGCTATACGATTCGCGCTATCAAATCTATGATTGATGACTGTACAAATGCTTAAAAGCTGTTAACAATGACTTGTTGTTGTTGTTTGTTATCCTCTAATTGTCTGACGAAGTCAGACAAGATCCAGTAGGTTGTTGACCCTCAAAAAGATCTGATATGTTTAGTACTTTGTTGTTGACAATGACTTAACGAAAAAACCAATGAACGAAAATATGTTTAATGATAAGTTTAAAATATTGCAGGCAAGAGATGAAAAATTGGAAAAAGTTGACTAAGATAATCTTTATATAAAATTCCTGCTAGTAACAAGTGGCAGTTGTTCAGAAATCACTGCTCAGAGGTTCTCCATAATGTAAAACTTATGGAAGCTGTTTAGCAGCATAGTTCTTCTTAGGACATTAATGTTGTATAAAGGTTGTCAGTAAAGGTTTTACAGTGAAAGTCAATCATGAACTCTTTCACTGTGAAACCTACAAAATGTTATAGTTACTTGAGTGATTACTAGAAAAAGAGTTCAATCATGACTATTTGGGATAGCATTTGTTGACTCAGAACAAGCACCTGATATGTTTAGTACTCATGGTATTAGTCAGCATGCAAGATCGATGGCAAAAGATTTAGTATTTATATGATGAATTCCAACAACATCTTATGAGATCCTAACAGTAAACAGAAAACTGCCACACTTAAATCCATGCCAAAGCCATAACCCAGCTACAAGCCAAAATAAAAAAAAATCAATTTAAGACAATTGGAAGCCTGCAAAATTAAAACCTTTTGAAATAAAACAGATTCATAAATTCACAGATAAGTCAGATTTTGTTACATAACAGCCTTGAAATCTGTTTACTATTCTGAAATTTTACAACTAGTATTTACAAGCACATTTATACTCAACATGAAAGGCTTAACTTCGCCACTCATGATATAGAACAATGTCAATTTACTTTTCAAATAGTAGAATTTAATTAAATGCTGAAATTACTTCAAAGGAAGAAAAAAATAAGAAAATAACATTCATTGGCATTAAAAGTAAAGAATGATAATATATAAATTGATTGTAATTTCGTAAAATTTTGAAAATGTAATTTTTTTCAAGCATTATATGTTGTTAACTTTCAGTTAGTAATCTGCATATAGAATAAAATGTTGCAAAATATTCATTTAGATTAAATGTCACAATATTGTAGGGTGGCAAGTTGATATACCAAAGTTGGAACAGTCCAATATAAATTTTAAAAATAAACTTACTAATAATTTCTCCTGATCATCAATTTGAGACGAAACTTTATCTGGAGGATAGGGAACCGTGAAACTTTTATACTGGAAAAGAAAATTGTGATTTTAAATAAATAATAACAAAGTAAAAATCATAAGTAAACTAAATAAAAGTAACTAACATTTCACAAATACAATTACAAAAATTATTTACTACAAAACACTATAATTGAAGAGCTGGATGAAAACCATATTAAGAGAGATTAAATTTGCATTAATTTGTAAGAATTAATTTGATTTAGATTGTATACAAACCAGGGTATAAACTGGGTTTAAATTACACAAACTGAATTTAAATTTCACACTACCCTACAATAATGGAAGTGAAAAATTTTGTCCATGTGACTTTTCATACTTAGCAATAAGTATTTTAACAACATTTTACAAGTAACAAGCATTTTTTTACATCCTTTGCCAAAAACTCAAGCAATAAGGTTGCACAGTATTACCTTGGATGTTATTTGCAATAACTACATAAAACTTCGTAACCCCAGCCTAAATAGTCATGGAAATATGGAAAGAAAAAGATTTTTAAAAAAACTAATTTTTTGGAGCAATTTAAAATGAATAACAAAATTATTGTTTTCAAACTTGAAAAAATTTTGTTAAAAATTGCACAAGATATGACATTTAAAGAAGTTCTTTTATACTGCAAGTATGCAAAAAAAAATTAAAAAATTTTTTTTTTTCATTTTTCATAATTAAGAACGGTATTCGGCAACCAAAGAAAATAGTCAGATTTAAAAATTTTTAAAAGTTTTAAGCAATTTTCTAAGTAATTTTTGTGTTTTTTAAAAGAAAGCTCAAAATGATCAAGAGTTTTCCACAAATTTCATTTTGTAATATTATAAATTAAATTACTCTACAATAACCGTACAGCAAGATGTAATTGTTAGGGGAAATTTGTCGAAAATCCTTGATCATTTTGAGCTATCTTTTCAGGAGTCGGTCCAGGCCAAATTTACTATGGCTTAGCGGTACCTTCACAAATTCAACTTTAGGAAAAACGGCAGTTTCACAAAATACTTTCGCTTAAAAAAATTTTTTTTGTATCCCGTAAGAAACGATAAATCCAAATTTCTGTGTTAATTTTTTAAAATAATTTTTAATTTTCACAAATTATGGCTAAATATTCACAAAATAGGTACCTCTCAGAAAAATCTAGACCAATCCCTGCTTTGAAAAAGAACAAAAATTACTTAGAAAATTTATTGAAAATTTTTAAGATATCCAGGGTTTAATCTATACTAATCCTCTAGACTAAAAAAAAGGGTACGGTGCTAGAAATTGAAAAGAGCACTATACTTTTAAAAAAAGGGCAGCAAGTTTAAAAAAGGGCAGATACCTTTGCCTACTTTGTCTTTTTAAATGATAGATTAATTTACAAAACATGATCAACATTATTATTATTATAGAGTTAAAAACGATTAACTAATAACCACAGCCATATGCTTTGTTGTTCAAATCAGAAGTTTCATTAGCCAAATCTGAAAAACATAAAATTTTATTAATATCATTTAAAAGTTCTCCTTCTTTTACGGAAGCCATGACATACAAAAATTCATTTGTAGAGACTTAACTAGAGTAACTTGCTTCTTTTGCTTTTCTAAGAGGCTTTAAAATGGAGCAATCTAATTCCTCGATACAAAATTTAAAGGTTGAAATAATGTGGTTTACAGCAAATTGTTTTCCACAAGGTAATGTAATGTTTTCATTCCTGCTTTAACTGCTTTGAATGCTTTTGACTCCGGATTTTCACTTAATAAATTATTGAAATATTTGAAAATTTTTGTTTCTTGAACAAATAGAAGATATGTGTGTCGCAGATTTTTCATGAGATTTTATTTTGTGTGAACTTATGTTTACGCATCCATGTTGAATCAGAGTTTTTTGTGTGTGTGCATAATGCATGAATTACAATGCAAAACATCTCTCAAGCCTTTGATACTATCTCTCAACCATGTTTCTTGTCATTTCTCATCAAAAGAAGTTTTGTGTTTAGTACATTTGTTCTTAGATTTTTCAGTTTCAATTGAATTGCACTTCTTATTGGAAATAGAATCTTTATTATCCAGGATTTGAATCCCTGTTGTGCTAGACAAAGAACTTTCTTCTGTTTGTTCCACTGATATTTGAAGTTGGGAACATGAAGTTGTGCATGCAATTTCAGGTGAAGGTAATTCATCTAAATTTTTTTCATGTAACTGGAAACTAAAGTCGAATCCTAATGCCTGTTGCATTCTATGGAAGCACCAGAGATATCGTTTGGACTTAACATCATTGAATAATCCTCTCATTGTTCCTCTAATACTTGAAGTTGGGATAATCCTTTAATTGCAGACAATATCTTAGATAAAAATAGTGGAACTAAATTTTTATCAGGCAACTAAAAAATTGCTTTTTTTTTTTTTTTTAAATTTGAAATATACTTCATGGTTTCTTTATATATATATATTTATAAGAAATAACATATAGACTGTTGAGAGTTTGATAAAAAACAAAATTTCTTTTTAAAGAAGGATGCAGCTCTTTTTCAAATTAGTCCACTCTTTAACGGCCTTTGTGAAGTCACATTTACCACTTAATTTTAAAATCATCAACTTGTGATCTTCAACTTTCAATTGATTTCTGTTATCTGTGAGCAAGAGTTCAATTTCAGAAAATATTCTTTCTACTTCTGCATTTAAAGTTGGCATCACACATGCTCTGTTCATTAATTTTCCAATAGAGGGAAACATATCATCAACAGTCATCTTTTGTCTGAACATCATGGATGTAAGCTTTTGTATAGACAGAACATTTTGTGGAATGTCACTTTTGGAACATAAAAATCCTTTAAATCTTCTATTCCCATTCCTTCAGTAAAACGTCTTCTTCCATTTCGAAATACTCTGCTAATTCTATTATCTCTGTATTTCTACACAGAGATAGCTCAGTTCTTCTTGGACTTTTCTAAGGTAAAAAATTCTCAAATTTGTGATTATTTCTAAATTTTCCAGTGTTTTTGAAACATTCGAATGTAAAAGGTCAAGGAAACTCATGCACTGTTCATTAATTGTCCAATAGAGGGAAACATATCATCAACAGTCATCTTTTGTCTGAACATCATGGATGTAAGCTTTTGTATAGACAGAACATTTTGTGGAATGTCACTTTTGGAACATAAAAATCCTTGAAATCTTCCCATTCCTTCAGTAAAACGTCTTCTTCCATTTCATCAGTTGCAAATAAGAGTCACTACAAAACTATGGAGATTTTTTTTAATTAATCTGTGCATGCACAGTATAAAAGAACTACTTAAAATGTTCATGTGCATTTTCTAACAATTTTTTTTTAACATTTAAAGTAATAATTTTGTAATTAATTGTAAATGGCCTCAAAAAGCAGAAGAAAAAAAAATGTATTTAATTGTCCATATTTCCTTAAATATTTCAGCTACGTTTATGAAATTTTATTTAGTTATTGCAAGTAACAACTAAGGTAATTGATGCAAGTCACAAGATTATTACTTGATTTTAAGGAACAGGAAGTTCAAAAATACTTGTTTATTTGTAATTTATTCTTGGTTCCTCAAATCTCTGAAAGCTTTAATTTTTATTGCTCAGTATGAGAAATCACATTAACTAAATACCTTTAAAGTTACAAAATAAATCTTTAAGTATTCTAGAAATGTTTAAAAAAAAATGGCAAAAACTGAAAGTATCTTCCATTATTGTAAGGTAGTGTATATATTATACATAACAGCCAATATGAATGGAAAAAGAACCCTAAAATCTTTTCAAAATGGTTGTGTTTTTGACATTAAATACTAGATAAACCATCAAAAACAATCACAATCATAGTGAAAATGAAGTGTATCTATAACATATTTAATCAATATGTCAATACATGCAAACATGTGAATTTATGCTAACTTTATCAATATTTGTATTACAGTATAGGTCGATTGTAGTTTTTTGCAGAAGAAAGAAGTTTTTTTTTTTTGTGTTTTATTTTATTCACTTTTTTAATGAATTTGTTCCAAAAAAAATATTTTCTTTTTAGAAGAATTTTTATGCAATTATAGATAATTTTATTTGGTTACAATTTTTTTCCTTTTATTTTTGTTTTGTAAATTTCAGCTGCACAAGGGTGCAGAAAATTCTCAGAAACCACCACCAGTCAGATATTCTGCACCCTTGCAGCTACATAAAATTGAATTTATAGTTTTATTATAAAAGATTAATTTATGTACATATTTGTTATTTAATATAATACAGAAATAGATTCTGAGGCAACTACACATCTAGTTAACAAACTTTACTTTTGAACCCAACGTTTCATATTACCTTGTCTTTTAATGTACGGAAATGATGACTTAAATACTTATTAGAATACCTATTATTAAAATGCCTTCTTTAAAGCAACTTCATATCAATAAAGTTTCCAATAGATTTTTTTCAGCACGTCATGGTTTACATTTAAAATCTATTAATGTAATGAAAGACCTTTTTATCTAAGATATTTTCTTTTTTTTGCAAATGTTAAATTGTATTTAAAAAGTACTAACTTTATATACTTCCTGCAATTTAGTAATTAAAATTTTAACAATAACATTTATACCAATACACAATGCAATTTTTCAGGTTTTGGAAATGACAGTTTTAATTATGGCATATTAGCACTATAACTATAGATTAAAATTTGTTGCAATTTTTCTTTGTGATTCAGATAAAACAGACACAAATAAATAAAAAAATTATGTTATAAATATTCTTTGACTCATAATTTATAATAATAATAATAGATATTAAACACATTTTAGATAAGTTGTTACTTTTTCTTGAAAAACATAGATTGAAACAAATTTTAATCATAACAAAAATAAATATATCTAAAGTCATTAAAAACAATATATACAATAAAAAAAAATTATGCAAAATAAAAAAATATGTGTTTGATATGTAATTAATTTTTAATAGAAGGTGTAAGACCATTAAAATGGGAATAGAGTTCATACCACAACTCCACAACAATAGTTCAACTCCACAAAAATAGCACATTTGGATAAATTAGGTAATCTGAATAAAGTTGGAACATTTTAAACAAATAATAGTTATTCACCCATTTTCGCCTATATTTTTCCTGGCCTGTAACCTTTTACGTAGAATCTTCCTACATGTGTCTGCAGTTTGGAGTAGGAAACTTTGAGAGACGAGATATCAAGAGGGTTAATATAATCTTATAAATTAACTATTTCATAAAAAAAAATTCAACTATTTGGCTTAGCTGAATATTTAGCAAGATTTACTCACAACTAAATGTGGTGCATCCTAGTAAAGTATAAAACCTTGTTCTTCTAATAAATATTTCAATTTTTCCCCTAAAGCTTTTTCAAACTTTGTTTAATATGAACAAAAAAAAAAAAAAAAAATTGCGAATCTAAATTTCTGCACTTAACTTTCCCGACTGGAAACAATTAGGTTTATAACATTATTAAATTATGTAAAAGCAATTTTTTATGCTCGATAATTAACTAAAATTACTTTTAATTTACAAATTATATATTTTAAAGTCTGTTAACAAAATTCAATACTTTTTTCAAGCCTCATGAATAATTTCATAAACATTTTATAATTTAAATACTGCGATTAGCCTAGACATTTAAAAATATAAAAAATTAATAGCATATCAAAAGTCAAGCACTTTAAATAAAAATTTGATTAATAAAACTATAAAAATTTTCTTCCCAATATTTTAGGAGCCTTAATTCACAACACATTCTTTACAAGAACGGATACATAACTTTTCCGATAAGGCACATTAACATGTTAAAAACAAATTTAATGCATTTCAAGATATATATATTAAGTTAATTTACCAATTGTTTAGAAGTTCTTGTTTTAAATGACGATTATTTGTAATTATTCTGCTCTTGAGTTAAAACCTATTGATCTAGTACAGCAAATTTCATAAAAACTCATCTTGGAGAATAATGAGTTTTTTCAAAAGAGGTAAACCAAAAGCTTTTTTCGTGTTGATCTGTATTTTTTCTCCCAAACCCCGGTTTACATATCTACAAAGTGTTCCAGAATGCAGAGTACAAACTCGGAAGGAAAGTAGTAGAGCACATCATTAGGAGCAATAATTAACCACTTAATGATGAACATTCTCTGGCTAAGAAGGGGACAGAAGAAACTTTGATGGGTCCAAATTCACTCACCTTCATGGGACTGGCATTGAAAAAGAAAAAAAGAAGACAATGTTTCCTGGCTCGTACCCCTAAACATCACTGGTACCAGATCACCCGTCCAAGAGGTGCACTCAACATTCGGTGCAACCGCAAGGATCAGACGGCGCGTACCAGCGGCCACCTTAAGTCTCTTTCTTTCGAGGGTAGTGTTAAAATCTTCCCAAACTGCCCCAGGTGCCAAAACATGCAGGCTTCTCCCCAACATATCCTGGGCTGTCTTGGACTGTACAAGAGGGACATTTTAGAAAACCCACTTTTGGTGGCCGCATGGACAATGTTTAGCCCTGCTAATTTTGGGGATTAGGAAGAAGATGAACATGCTTAACCTGCATTTGTCCCTGCACCTGAATGTAGTTTAAACAGAATGGGGGGCTATCTCATTATGAAAGGTGTGTATGAGACTACTTTGACCAGACATTTAAAAACAATTGGATTGGGTGTTGCAGCCCTGTTTCTTGGCCTTCCAGAACACCTGATTTATCTCCTCTTGATTGTTTATTCTGGGGTTCCACTTTGACTTAGAGCACTGCATACTAAATTCTGAAATGGACTGGTGGCATGAATCTTTATCGCCACTTTTATGATCAGTGAAATGCCAGGAATCTCCGGAAATATTCGGCAATCCAAGTCGCATAGGTGTTGTGCATTCATTCAAGCCAATGGTAGCATTTTGAAACACCTCCTGTGATATTTTAAGTCATACATTGTACCTTTTTTATTGTCTATTAAAGCATTTTACAATACATTCTGCATTGTAGTCTTCAGTACCTCTTTATTATGTGAGAGTGAAATTTTCGCACATCCTTTTCTATGTAATTATGGCTCCTAACGATGCTCCCCACCTTCTCTCTAAGTTTGTACATGGCATTCAGTGACACTCTGTATGTATGTGTGTGTATGTATATATACATATATATTCATTTGTTTACCCATATTTAGTAGTCACTAATTTTTACTTGTAAATAAACAATAAGATTAGGAGCTGCTGATTTAATTATCTAAAAGAAAAAGCATCGATGGAGAAAACAGACATAATATTTACACATTTTTTAAACAAAAATTTTAAAAATTAACAAACCTGCTTTTCGAATTCATCAACCATAGCAGGAGAAGGCAATCGAGAGCGATACATTGAAAAATCTATAGTAGGAGGTTTTTCAGGATAGCTCATTAATCTGAATAAGAAAAATAAAATTTTATGAAATATCAAACAATTTTATGATTAGTTAATAAAAATATTCTTGAAAAACCTAAAAATGTTTTACGCGATCTTTCGAGAATCATTTTAAAAGAAATTTGGATTTGTTGACATATCCTGTACAGAATATTTTTTTTTTTTTTTTAATTAACCTATCACAAATTATTTTCAAGCAAAAACATTCGTTTGGATTCTTTTTTTTTTATTATCATAAATTGTCAAGTAACTTTTGATGTTGAAAACGTACCCATTACACTATCTTACTAAATAGGGTAGGAAATTTTTTATAAAAGCAGAACCTAACCTTATACAGAATCTGAATAAAGCACCCTAGTAACAGCATTTAACTAAGCTTTTTTTAGATTTTTCTAAAAATTTAAAAAAAAATAAAATCTTTTATATAGAAAATTATGAGAGTGACCTGAAAATAACCACTTGCCATGTGGTGAGGAAACAAAAAAAGTGGAGACCTAAATCAGAGGTCTGTTTAGAAGAAATTTGGGTCCGTTAACGAACCCTTCACAAAATATCTTTTCATAAAAAGAGACCCTTCACAAAATATTTTAACTTAAAAACGGACCCTTCACAAAATGATTTTACTTTTAATCGGACCCTTCACAAATTTGTTTATCTTCATTATTGTTTCGTTAATCAAATAAACCGTTCCTAGGGTCGAAAAAAAGAAAGACAGGTGTAAACGAATTAAATTTTGTCTTCGGCAGATGCTTCTTCCTTTATTCGCTCGAAATGAATACTCTGTGTTCAGCAGTATAGGCTAAATACCAAATATTTGTATGTTGCATCGCTAATTTTTAAGCAGCAATTGCTGTTTATTTTTGAAAATTTAATTTTTTTAATTATAATTTTACAGTGCTGAGCATAATCTTGTATCTATTTACAATTTAAAAAATCCTTGAAAAAGTTTTCTGCAATAATAAACCCTATTTGCACAAATTCATAAAAGCAGGACCCTGGTTGAAAGAATGTGACTCAACGCTTATTTTATATTCAAAAATTACGAGTAATTTTTTCACAATTTCACAAAAACCGGACGTTTTACAAAATATCTGGACAGACCCCTGCCTAAACTAAATAAATGGTAACTTTTTTGAAAAATAGCTTAAAAGTAGATAATAGTTAAAAAAAAAAAAAAAAAAACAGAATATTCACTTAAATGTCTAATGTCACCATTCAAAATTTTGATTCTTCAGAATTCATCAATTTGTGATAGAAAGATTCTTGTTGAAGGAGAGCTTTTTAAAAATTCACATATTTCAAAGTTATAATGTAACATTAAATGTATTTTGTGTCCTCAAATATTTTTATAAGTTCTTCAAAAACAGTATGTTCAATAAAATTTTGTAACATATTTATTTTATTTTTATAGTTGAATTAACTTTTTATAGCTGTAGATTTTTTTGAATATGAATTTTCTTTAAAAAAATTTTTATTCGAGCAAAACAAAGTTCGCAAAAAGTCACTATTCAATGAAAAAGACTTACAGATATCAGTCACCAACTTATTAGGTTTGAGGAAAAAGTAGATACTAATCATTAGAATCTACCAGCCAGCCCCTATCTACAAACTGAAGATTTAAATTTCCAGGTGTATTAAGAAATATTTCACAAAAATTGGTCCTTCCCAAAAAAACCTGGTCTTATATATTGTCAAATTACATTTAGTTACTTAAGAAGCAAAAAAAAAAGAAGATTTCTTTGTACTGTAAACACACGCCAGCAAATTTGATGATGTAAATAACATACTAAACTAGCATAATAAACTAACAGTCTGGAATTATTCCTCCATAGGCATGAATAAATACTGATACATGCTTGTACCACACAATTGTGCGACGCTTACATTGGTGGCTAATAAACTACTTGCATGAACAATTTTATTTGAAACCATGATGGTAGGTAACATCACATGAAATTGAACTATGTTTTGATTGATTTTCATTGATTTTAAATAATTTTTAACAGGAAAAAATATCCTTTAATATTATCTATCCATGTATCATCAACTAATGTCAATGTTTTATTAAATCATATTAATTTTTAATAATCTGTTGCTCACAAGACATAAAAAAATATTTTACATCTTATTAGAACCAAGTTTAACAATATCTTTTCAATCTAGTTTTACTGAATGGCTAAGTTAATATGTACAGTTTTTTTATAAAAAAAAGATTTTATTAAAACTTGTTTTAGGAGTGGTAACAGTTCATCTTGACAAAGCTCAGATGTGTTCATCATTAGTACACACCTCAAAAGCAATCAAATAACATCTAATTTAATAACTGATTAATTTCTTTACATGAAGAAATGCCAGATCTACCCATTGAATCATTGAAAATTTCATCAATCATTGAAAATTTCATGCTTTCTACTTTAAGAATGTAGGGCGAGTAGCTATCGACAATCAGGGTTCGTGATTTTTTTTATTTTTTTAAAAAAAATCAAAAGAATCAGATTTTTTTGATTTAAATCGGATTTTTTTTATTTAAATCAGATTTCTTGATTTTTATTCAAATACACTGTAAGAACTTTAATTTATGATTAAAAAAAGTTATACGTGTTTAATCAAATTAACTTAATATTAAAACTATGTTGTAACAATATTTTAGAAGCTCTAACTAAAATAATTTTTCATTATAATACATGGCTTTGAATGCATAGCAACTGTTTTGAAAGAAATGCATGATTAAAATTTAAAGACTAGATTAAATAGAGAATTTAAAGAATACTTCAGGGGTCTGTCTGGGTTTTTCTGAGAGGTACCTATTTTGTGAAAATTAAAAATTATATTAAAAAATCAGCACAAATATAGAAAAAATATGGATTTATCGTTTCTTACGAGACACAAAAATAAAATTTTAAGAAAAAGTATTTTGTGTGATTATTCTATCATTCTTCCTAAAGTTGAATTTGTAAAAGTACCGTTAAACGGTAGTAAATTTGGCTTGGACAGACCCCTGCACTTTAACTATTAAAACAAAGTTTCAGTTACCAAACCATAACTTTAATTTAAAATTGTGATTTCTTTTTTTTCCTCTTGATTTTTAAAATGACAAAATAAATGCATCAGACTGTGTTTATAAATGTAGTCATTCATAAAATAATAAATAAATATTTAATCTATATATTTTTATATTAAAATATTCATTTTTAATTCTATATCAAAATAGATAAGTTAAGCTAAAAAAAAAATTAGAAAATCTATGTACTCATTGGAATTTTTTTTCACAAAATTTCTTTATAGAAAATCAGATAATGTCAAAGATACTGTAAACATATTATGAGAAAAAAATACCAGTTAATAACCCTACTGCATCAAATAGACTTTGAAAGAGTTTGAAAGGGAAGAATGACACTATATTAGGAAAAAAACATCTGAATTCATCAGCCCTTTTTTTTTCTTTTTCTGTTTTTGGCATATTAGGGTAATTTCTTTTTAATATAACCTCAAGCTTCAGAAATATACATTTTCCACCAATAAAATATGATGTAGATTTTAATTCACGCTTTTTCATTCAAAAGGTAGAATTTTAATTAACATTATTTGTATTATTTTTTGAAAAATATTCATGTTTATTAATTACTTTCTACAGCTATGCAAGTCTATATTAAGACAGCATTAAATGTTTACTTTAATCTGTACTTTCAATCTCAAGAATCAAAACATTTTTAAAAATGTAATTTCAAATGTGTTAGAATTTAACACACACCAAAAAAGTAATTTCATTAACTAAAATTAATTAATGCAGCAATTTATTTAAATTAAATTTTAATACTAATAAAAGAAAATAATAAAAGTATCAAAAATTTAAAACACTGTTTTTTGACTTTTAAAATCAATATATTTAGATAAAAAAAAAATTTTGATTTAAATCAATGATTTTTTTAAAAAAATCATTTGATTTAAATCGTGATTTAAATCAAGCTGATTTAGATCAACAAACCCTGTCGACAATGCTATCAAAAGGTCATCAAGATTGAATCGAGTTAGCATGTCTTATATACTAGTATATTGACATCTAATAATCGAAGTGGTAATTTTACCACAACAGTCCTCTACCAGAATTTTATCAGGGATAGAATTCGATGAATGGATACCGCTAGTTGCTGTACTTATGAAAGATCGAGAGAGCTGTATTAAGTTCATGGTTGTGTTCTCTTCTGTGTTATTAGCAGTTGAGTGTGCAGAGGATCCTGTTATGTGTAAATGAGAAGAAAAAGCATGAGGAGGATAATGTCGCAGCCAGCAAGTCAAGTGTACAATGTGGACCTTCCATCGAAGAAGGCCTAGCTGCCAAGGTAGGCAAGTGCATATCAATGTGGGGAGAGGGGTTATCTACAATGCCAACCTCTATCTAGCGAAAGGTACCTTAAGAATGAATCACATTACCATATCTTATATACCAGTGAATTGATGTTTAATAATCATGGTGGTAGATGCACCACAAAAAGGTATGAGAAAGTTACATTTTAAGGTATTTTTCGATTAGGTGGACGAAATATTTTCTTTCAGTTTCATTTATTTAACACAAAAGAAAATGGGTAAATAGTTCAGTTTTCCTGTGCCCTAAAAAAAAACCTTTTTAAATAACCTAACAATGAATGAGTTAGATGAGAATAGTTAGTTCGTTTTTACACAAAAATTGAATTGGGTTATAAATTTAATTTGACACACAAAATGAAGGAAACATCACCGAGGTTAAGACTTTATCCGAGGCAAACAATCCAATGAAGGCAAACCTATCGAGAAGAAAATATGCGAAAGATATTTTTAGAAACTAAAGTGTAAAGTATTATTTAAATACAAAGTAAATAGTGCCATAGCTTATTTTAGATAAAAAGTTAACAATAAAAATTTAGAACAAGGCGGAAAGCAATAACTAAGTTGCATAGAAATAATTGTTAAGAAATAAATGAAGTTTACTTGTGGGTGTAACCATCTACTTTTGCCTTAAATTGCTGGAACTTCACTTTTTGATTCGCAGGAACTCTTTCAGCAAAAGCAGCCCAATCAATAGAAGATTTAATAAATCGTTTAGTAGCCATTTTAGAGGTCACTTTAATGAATAACAATCGGTCTCTACACGATAAATGTATAAGAAGTGAAACGATTTCCTGCTACCTATTTCTGTCTCTTATAAGAATGATTATTTTAAAAAGCTTACACTGAAAATTTAAAAGGCCAATTTCTACTAAATGCACTAAAATACCTAAAATGTTAGGGACCGCTTCTACTACATGCAATTTGCACACCTTTAATCACCGTTTCGATTAATGGAAAACCTGATTAGTGATTTTTTTGTGAAATATTGCATTTCACAAATTAGGTTCACATTTTTCCACGAAGATGATCGAGTTTGTGGGAATCACATGCAATGAGATTGGTAGGTTTGACTTTGGGTAGATTTGCATGTGCTGTTTCATTCAAGGAGCATCTTTTATGGGTACAAAGCGCAGAGATCAAGTAAATATATGCAGCGTGAATAGCTCTCAGGGACCATTCTGCATCATATTGCACAAGATACTAGTGCAAATATTTAAAAAACTACGTGAGAGACGAAATAAACACGCATGTGCGAATCGCATTTACATTTGACGCATTTAGAGTCGCATGTTGGGAGAATGCTTACGTAAGTATGCTGACGTGTAGTTTCTATACACGAGCGCAGATGGATGGTGTTTTCAGTAGAAATGTAAACAATAACAATCTCGAGCTCGGCATCTACTCTAGTTCCGGTTAAAAAGTTTGCAGCTGTTATTCTACATGTTATTCTGATAGGCGATGTTCTCAAACGGATAATTTTGTTTTCAATAAAAGAAATAAATTAGATAATTTCTGAGCCCAAATCTGCCGTATTTCATAAGATATTAATGTTATTATGTAATTCTGGGGAGTTTGGAGTGAAAATTTGTTTTAGTTATTTTGTTATTTATTATTAAAAAAGGTGACATGGTTGCTAGATTTTGAATAACTCGATTTTTTGGCAGTCTTGATTTGGCCTCTTTCCATAAGTTTATTACTGCTTGTTCTTGTTGTAAGCTGTGCACCTTCTTACGTTAGTGTTAACACTTTTAGCATTGTAAACACAAGTAATAAGTAATCAAATACATTGTTTGCAAGAATCTCAAAACACAACGATGACAAATGGCTTTAAAATACAACGGAAACAGTAACCCGGAAATTTAGGCGGTACCGAGCTTGCAGCGTTCCCTACCCAAGTAGCACAATTCACAAAAACGATATCGTAAAAACTTAGCTTTGAACATTGTACAATATCGTAGCGAAATATTGTACTATATAAAAATGGACCCCTTTTATAACGTATATTCAATATTGCAAAACAATATTGTTCGATATTGTAGGAACGTTGGGTAACGTCGATCGACATCTCTCTGCATTTACAAACGTTGTACTATGTCAACCGACATCGTCAACACGATATTCAAAAAACGAATGCTGTGGAATGCAGACAATCGCCAAAATTACGTTATTTGAGAAAATAAAAATTAGTTTTTGTAAATATTCATGCCTGCTTGTAAGCTGGAAAAACCTAACAAAACCGTTCTAGCTTGTTTAAAATTAAATTATTTGTTATTCCCAAAACTTGTAGAATTTTTTAATTATAAATATTTAATAAGTTTGGGTAGGCAGGTATATTTTACTATTATTCCAGAAAATAAGCTAGAAAGTAAATAGTTTTGTTAAGATATTTCTTCGCTTTTTCAGGGTACAAGCAGCCATTTATATTGTGAAATTATTTTAATATTTTAAGTGATTTGTGCAATAATTTTTAAAGCATCTATATTTTACTATGTAGATTAAAATTACAATATGTTTAATTTAAAACGATTAACTTTTTTGTTGTGACGTTTTAGTATTATATAATCTGTATTTTACTAAAATAGTATCTATGGAAAACAAAACTCCTTATCTTCACAGCATCAGGTTCGATTTTAAAAAAACTGATTAAAAAAAAAAAAAAAAGCAATATTTACACTGATATTGTCATAATAAAATAACAGGAGTCACTTCCTCAGATTTCTGACTTAAAAAAGGGCAAGCATGGTACAATAAGCTGCGATCTAATTTACTTATAGCCTTTATCCATTAAAGTGTTGCCAAAATATTTATTAGGGCTTGAACGGTTGTCAAATGTGTAAATGAAATATAATTTTTATTAAACAGTAAAGAATAATATACTAATTTCTATAATTTATTGTATTCTTTAATACAATCAATTGTTTCTAAAACAAAACTGTGGCAGTTGAGGCGCAAACTTAGTCTTCCTGCCTTCCCGGCCATTGGCGGTGGCAAGAACTTCACCAAATTTTTCAGCTTTTTCTAGTCAGCTAGTTTCTTTAAACAGTCTGAAGGTAGCAGCTAGTCTCTTTGAACAGTCTGAAGGTAGCAGCTGAAAAAAAATAAGACATAAACTGTGGTTAATTTTAATACTTTTAAATTAAAAGACAAATAGTTATATTGAAAAATTACATGAACTAAAGTAGACATGAGCACAATGCAAGTACTACTAACAGCCCTAGGTTGACAATTCTTTTGTATAGAATCAGAGCAGTTTTTATGTTTCCAGGAGCACCGGGCCTATTTTTATATGGGGGCCCTTGACGAGTAAGTTAATAACAAATGGAAAATATTATATTTTCATAGCTGCCAACCTCTAGTTATAAAAATGCAGAAGATAGAAAAAAAAAAATGCAGAAGAAATGCCTAAAAATGCAGAAGATTCGCAAGCACATACTAATTACCAATAAATTTATAAAAGAAGCGGATTTTAACTATTTTGATTAATTATTTATTTATAAATCCACTTATTATGAGCAAAAAAAAGCAATACTCATCTTTTTTTAAAACAAAAAAGGAAATATTTTTTAAAAAAACTTTCGACCAGCTACTTGATGGTACAATATTCGATTAAAAATGTAGTTACGGCCTTGCCAAACGCTGTTACAAGAGGAACAGCGACGTCTGACTTAAAGAAAATACTAGCTATCAGGCAGATGGGTAAAATGCAGAAGATCTTATCTTCTGCGCATAAAAGAGGAAAAAATAGCTAAAATAAGTAAAAATGCAGAAAGCTTCTGCAAAATGCAGAAGGGTTGGCAGCTATGTATTTTATAATATGATAGACGGAAAAAAGTTTTTCCTTGAATAATTTTTAAAAAATATTTGGTCACCTTTCAATGAGGTGATCCGGGTTCCAATCCCAGTATCGGCTGAGATTAGAACCCGGCTAGTCAATACAAATTCCACATCTAACATGAGGTTACCACAGTGCTGATTTAGATATAGTGAAGTATTTTGTAAAGGTACTGCTAAGTGGTAATAAATTTTTAATCTTATATCAAAATAGATAAGCTAAGCTAAAAAAAAATTTTAAAAAATCTATGTACTTATTGGAATTTTTTTTCACAAAATTTCTTTATAGAAAATCTGATTATGTCAAAGATACTATAAACATATTATGAGAAAAAATTACCAGTTAATAACTCTGCTGCTTCAAATAGACTTTGAAAGGGAAGAATGACACTATATCAGGAAAAAAACATCTGAATTCATCAGCCCCCTTTTCTTTCCTTCTATTTTTGACATATTAGGGTAATTTCTTTCTAATATAACCCATCTTTCTACTATAGCTTTAGAAATAAACATTTTCCACTAATAAAATATAATGTAGATTTTAATTCCATGCTTTTTTAATCAAAAGGTAGAATTTTAATTAACATTATTTGCATTTTTTTTGAAAAAATTCATGTTTATTAATTACTCTCTACAGCTATGGAAGTCTATATTAAGACAGCATTAAATGTGTACTTTAATTTGTACATTTAATGCCATCAATCAATCTCAAGAATCAAAAAAAATTTTTAAAAATGCAATTTCAAATGTGTTGGAATTTAACACACACCAAGAAAGAAAGCAATTTGAATAACTAAAATTAATTAATGCAGCAATTTATTTAAAATAAGTTTTAAAACTAGAAAAAAAAATAATAAAAGCATCAATAATTTAAAAACACTGTATTTTAACTTTCAAAATCAATGCTTTTTTTCTAAAAAAAAATCATTTGATTTAAATCATGTAATAAATCAAGCTGATCTAAATCAACAAACCCTGATAACTAGAAGAAGATGCCATGGTTGAGAAAAGATGCCATGAAAAACATTACAAAACCTTAAGAGCGGCTAACTTTTGAACTTTGAAACATACAATGCTGTAAATGTATTAGAGTTCAGAATACAAACTAAGCAAAATAAAACAGGAAGGACCAGGGTAGTTAATTTAAGGAATAACTGATCCATTTTAGTGCAAGATAATGACTCACGAAAAAGTAAAGTCTAATTACAAATTTTAAAATTCTAAGTCTATAAAATTACCTAAGATGGCGTTTGTAACAGCTGAGAGGCTTTCAAAACACTGTTTCCTTTTTCATTTTAATTTACAATACATCATCGCCAATTCCAAGATGGTGCTGAAGTAAAAGAACATAAATAGCCTTCTTTACAGATGGTTTCAAAATAACATATCTGAAAGAAAAAAAAGATATATATAAAAATATAATGTTTTAATAACCATTACAAAATGTACCTCATATTTTATCATCAATTAAGACCACACAAGTAAAACGGGCATAGGATTGCTGAAGAAAGGAATTATCTACATTTTTCATTTTTATAATATATTATTTCTTATTTCAGTCACTTTATTCTCAAAGAGTTATTGCATTAGTTCTTTACTTTGTATATGAGAAGCTTCCAAAGCAATGGCCTGTGCATAAATATATTAAACATTGCAATATCAGATTGTATGTTAACGAATCCAATTATCAAGAATTCTATGTATAAATAGTGTGCAGAGAAATACCCATACCATTAAAACACTTATCATGTGATAAGTGTTTTATTGACTGTGCAGTCATATTTGACTTAAGAATCACATAAGTTAAAATATGTTGCAAAGTTGGGACATATTCAGCTATGGATTGCTTTTCATTTTGATATGTACATGGTATCTGCGACATTTTAGATTTTAAAACCCTGACTTTCCATCAATAACTCCAAAAAGTTGTCATGAGTTACCGAAGTTACTATTTTATCCGACAAAAACACTACAATAAATTCAAAAAAGCATTATAATAACATTAATTGAAATGATAGGTATAACCAAAGCTGTTATACTCTGAATCCTTGAAGCAGAATTTTTTCGAGCTATTTGCGACAAAACTCTCTAGCACTAATATCTTTCTGCAAGATACTTTTCACAAAAATAAACAGTTATGTTACTAATTTAAAATAACAAAAGCACTGTGTTTAAAACAAAAAACTATGTATAACCTTTTTTTAAATTGAGCGTATAATTTTTATTATAACATTACATGCAACATTTTCGCATTTTGTTGGGAGGCAGGGGGATATAGAAATTATTTCCTTCGCCTTTTGTCATCCCAGTAAAAAAAAATTGCAAATTATTAAATCCGCAGTAGTACTCGGCGAAAAAAAAAGATTGACAACAAATTCACACGAATTGGTCACCTCAAATGAGTGTTTCGTTTCTTGATTAGGCTGTTGTATAAAAATATCGTATAATAAATATCAGATTTAAAAACTATGGAGAAATCAATAGCAATAACTGATAAAATTCGACAGAATTATTGACCTAAAAAGTAAATACCCAAATACAAGATTCGAATTTTTCAGGTTGCTTATCGGGATATTTAAAATCCACTTGAAAATCAACATCAATAACTGACGAAAATACAACAGAAAAAAACCCATCAATTTACGCTACTATTGGCGTATATTGAACACGCCAAAAAGTTATTATTCAAATGCATGATTCAAATATAACTGGTAAATTTCTGTCAAAAAATAAATAAAGGTAATTTTTTTTTTTTTTTACTTTTCAAAAGAAAAATCTTTCTGCAAGAACTTTGTAATGTTCAGTGAAAATGTTGCCGTGTCTCTGCAAATCTGCCACGGGGCTCTAAACCTTCTCATTTATTGATATTAAACTTAAAAATTGAGTAAAGAAAGAGTTGAAGCATTTAAATAGCTGAAAAATATACAAAAGTAAATAACTTTTATATAGCTTTTTAAAGCTGCTTTTTTTCTTCTTAAAAGTAAGTGTAACATAAAATGCCTAAACAAGAATTTTAAATTCATTATAATAAAAAAAAAATTAAACAAATAAAATAATTAATAAGATTCTGAAATCACTGAAGTTTAAAAGATTATTCGCTCTAGAAAGGATGTTCTTTCCTTAATTATTTTAAAGAACACAATTGAAACATTTTATATTTTAATAAAATACGATTAAGATTGGATATTTTGTTACAAATTCAGATATTCAGAACGCTATGAAATTAGGGGGATTCCATTTTTAAAATTAAGATTTTTCAGTTACCTAAATCTGCAATTTTTAAAAAAATAATAGTTAGATCATGACAAATTTTGTTCAATATAGAAATCCATGACTTTCTAGGTGTACTGATACCCTATATGTACCCTAATAAATACATATATGTACCCAAAGAATAGTATCAGGAGAGATACCCTATTCTTTGGCAGGAGCATATGGGAGGAACGTTGAACAAGTTCGTCTTTTTTAGTCCGAGAAAAGCAGATAAATTGTTATAGTGCACAGAACCAATAAAAGTAAACAAGATCTTTGGGAATATCAGAATTGAATAATGTGATATAATTTAATAGTTAACAAACTTCAGTTTATGTAAGTTAAAACCCCTTCTGAAATTATGAATTACTTGATTAATGAGCTACTCGGTTCGGTAAGTAAGATGTAGACATATAAAATTTTCATGATTCAATTCTTTTTTTTTGTAATTTAAACATTATATATTAATTAGATACAGTAAGCATAATATTAAATAATAATTAAACACACACACACACATATATATATATATAAATATATATATACTGCAAACTTGTACGGTTGAGAAAAAAACTTCTTACTAGCAGCAACATTAGATATCTTATTAAATCTTCAGTATACATATTAAATCAATCTAGTAGACATACTAAATCTTCAATTTAAAATTTCGAAGAAAAAAAACATTTCAATCTACCATGACAAATTAATAATTAAAAAATATGCAAATATGATCCATTTGTTAGCTCACTTAGCTCTTAAATTTTTAATTAGTTCAAGTATTAAAAAATATTTTTCATCAAACGTACAATTTGGCAGGTGTGAAAAATATAAACATAAGCATGTCAGAAGGCTTAACATCTCCAAACATACTATAAAATTACGCCACTGTTTGTGAATATGAGAATTGAATAACGTGATATAATTAAATAGTTAAGCAGCCTGGACAAGAAAAAGGTGGAAATCAATGTAATTCTTGCAATATATAATTTAATTATATATATTAAAAACAGCACATACCTGCCAAGATCAGAGAATTCGTTCACTTCAACAAGGTGCATTAATTCCCCTTCATCTTCAGCTGGTTTGAGTTTTCGGGCTCGCTAAATCGAAATAATTTTCATTCCATTTACATTATGAGCTAAGGTATAAATCTTATGAGACGAATTTAGATTTAAATATAAGTAGACAAAAGATAAATAGATCGCAGGTGTAGCGGTAAATGATAAACAGCATTTTAACGGGTTATGGTTACGGTTCCGAGTGGTATAGATCGTAGATTTCAGTATTTAGAGAAAAAATCGATGTCGTGACAAAAACACGATTGCAATATTGATATCAAATATTGTCCGGGGTTGTTCGGATGTCTCTAAATTTATATTTCAAACTTATTTTTTGGAATTATAACAATTTGACGTAATTTTTTGTCTTTTAAATGATTAATTTTGATTTAAGGACACAATAAAGTTTTAAATGATAAGTTTTACAAACATATTTTTAATGTGAAATCGACGGGAATCGTACAATATCGTACACACAATTTCGATTTTCGCCAATATTGACAATGTCGGTCGATGTAAACTAAAGCTGTTACAATATCCCTGTGCTACTTGGGTAGTGTAGAAAACACCATCCATAGGCAATTAGTTGCAGTTTGCGGTTCAATTATTAAAGCATATCTAATAACAAATTACAAAACAACTGAACTTGTGCCATTCTTACTTTGTCCGAGAAACTTGCTGCAAGTGAGTGTTTGGAAAATATGTGCAAGATGAACTGTGATTTAATCACAAGACTAGTTCATAGCTGGATCACTGAAGTCAATCCTCACTGGCTGTGATCCGTGAACGGATGGGTGACCACTTTGATCAGTCTAAGAACATGACGAGGGTGAGCGGTATCAATCCCCGTTAAACCCATGTTCAACGTTCAGGAAGTCTAACACATTCGTCGATAACCCATTGTGAGCTCTAGTTCAACGTAAATAAAGTACCAATACCATTTACTCGCGTAAATAAAGAGAAAGAACTGAAGTAAAAATGGCCGTGTGTCACGAAAATGTAAAATTTCTTATCAAAATTGATTTGATGCAAGTGTTCTATTTCAACAAGTAATTGTTTTTCTATTTATTTTTTTCTCGGTTTACATTATATCAGTGTATAAATACAAAACTTTAAAAAAAGAGGTCAAAAGTTTCACTCATGCCAAAAAAAAAAAAAAAAAAAAAAAAAAAAAAAAAAAAAAAAAAAAAAAAAAAATCGAAACAACATAAACACAACATGCATCGAGGACAATATTATAGGTGCAATCAGATTACAAGGAATTACCTTAAACGCGCTTGTAAGTATCGTAAGAATACGCAAGACGAACTGTTCCCGAAGGCATCGAATCGCACTGACATGCAATCACATATGCGAATTGCATGCAGTTGAAAAATAAAAAGACTGTATTTCATCTTCTGCCATATCACATTTTCATCTTACAATCAAACAGGTTTTAAAGCTTTTTATTCTACCTCCATCGTTGATGAAATGATTAATGAATTTATCACTAATTTAAAACTAACACTAATTTAACACTAATTTAAAAAAATACTTATTTATCGGGGTCACTTTGAATAATTGAATATTGAATAATTTAAGCTTTGGATGTTTTTCTGTGGATCTCAGTCTCGGATGAGAAGTTTTCAGGCTCTTTCCTCCAAAAGTGAATACGAACTCAAAACAAATATGCTTATTTTTAAGAAGCTAAAGAAATATTCATGCATGCTGTTATTTATTTTACATCATATCATGTACGTTATTAATATGATAACACTAGTTTAAAAGTATTATATTTGCTCTTCCATTAGTGATTGTAAATATGTAATTGCGGTTATTACGCTAGCAAATTTAATACGTTAACTTCTTCCTCTTTTCATTTATGATACTTTTTTTTTAAAATGGTAATTTGAATTCTTTTAAGAAAGTTATGAAATCTGCCTTATAAAACAAAATATACCCGTATGCCCTGAATTGGGGCAGGTCGGGGTAAATATTTCATAATTTATAAAACAAAATACATTGAATTTTTAAAATCATACATTACAAATAGAATCTTAATTTTATTCCTCTATAAATTGTGGTGCCGTTTTGAGAGATTCTAATAAACTATAGCATTTAATTTTTTTTCTTTTTGATATTTGCGTCCTTTGTAAGGTAAATTGTTTAGGGAAACCTGTCAACACTAGTAAATTGACCACCTGTATAAGTTTACCTCGATTATTAAATTTATACATAAACAAAGCAGGATGTTTATATGAGTGTGTATGTATCTTTTTCCATAATTTTGAGCCACTCCAAACCAAATTTGGTGTTTTGGTGTACAGTGTGCCCCCCCCCCCCTAAAAACCATGCCACTCGGAATAACTTTTGATATATTGATCGGATCTTCACGTTCTAGGACTCAATCTTAATGGTTCAAAGGGAGGACCTCATGCAGTGACGTACGCAAGGGAGGGGTTTAGGGGTTTAAGCACCCACCTTGAGCTCAGACAAAATGGCAAAAATAAAAATTTTAGTAGAAATTATGCGGGCTATTATTTTTTAAGACTATATATTTTTATTTGCCTTATGCCTGCTTTTTTTTTCTCACGATATTTCTCAGAATACTGAAAAAACATTTACTATAATAGGGTTGTACTTTTGAAACCAAATTCACGTGATACTGTTACGGACTGGGTTCCTTTCTGACCTGCCAGTATAGTTTTCGAGACTGGCTGTCATTCGCGAGGTCTTTACGCTATGATTCTGGAATCCTAGACGTTCTGTCGTCTTTGAGACAATTCGAGAATTTTGTAGATGCGGTTAAAAAAAATTATATGAAAGGGGGTTACATTTATTTTCGATTTTAGTCAGACTAAGAGTTATCTCTGCCGCTTGTCCTTCGGAGCTTGTTTCTAAATCTGTTTTGTTTTGGAGACACTGTGCTCGTTGAAGTTATTCATTCCAGCTCGAAACTTTGAGATCGTAGCTTAGTGGATATTTCTGTGCCAATATATATATATATATATTTGCTGTTCTTGGATCTTTAGGATGTCAAAACGCAAGAATTTAACAATTTTTAATTATTTTGAGAGAAAATCACGACCTGAAATTAGTGAGGTGACAGCATCTAGTACCAGTATAAGTTTTTCTGTTGTACAGAAATGTGATACTTCCGTTGAAGAAAACGTTTCTAGCATAACAAAATCTGATGAATGTGAAAGTGGCCCTCAAAGTGTTACTTCTTACCCATATGACATTGGACTTTTTTCAGAAGATATTACATTATGTTCTTAAACTTAAAAAATCAAATCAAAATTTAACTAAACAATGCTGTCTAAATAATAAGTCAAAATTGTCTAGCTGTCTAAATTAGGGAAATAATAGTGCTTTATTACAGACTCGAATTTCTTTTAGCAGTTTCAGAAAATTATGAACACCCCCCTTGAAAAAATTCTGCGTACGCCATTGACCTCATGTATGCGCTATTTAAAAAGTGCGGACGATATTTTAAGTTATGAAATTAGACACAAGAACGTAGATTCTCTGAATAAACATATTTTTTTCCCGAGGGATTCGGATTTCTGATCTCCAAAATAAAGGGGGTAGTCGCAATCTGGGAAATATGGTCCCCATAGTTTGCTCAGGAGAGCGACCCAAAGTTTTGACCCATTAAATGTTAATTTTATTTTTTGCATATTTCGTCATATCTCGGTACACTTTTTTAGAGAATTAAAAAGTTTTCGCACCCAATTGTAAATTCGTTTGTCGAAAGATAATTTAATGCGAAAAATAAATTTTTGTAAACATTTATTATTTTTTATTATTTAATTTAATATTAGTCGAGAAAAATTTTGAATTGCAAGGTATACAATTTTTATATCATTTTAAAACATCAACTTTTACTTAGCGAAATACAAAATTTGAGCAAAATTGGTTGAATAGTTCCTGAGAAATCGAATTTAAATCTTACAACTTTCTTAAAATTCAATTTCTTAGAATTTATTCAACCAATTTTGCTTTCTCTCAAATTTTGCATTTTGCTATAAAAAATTAGATACTTTCAAATGGTATAAAATATTTTATACAACACAAATTTTTTCGTCTATTTAAATAAAATAATAAAAAAGAATAAAACTTTACAAAAATATGAGCAAAAATTTTTCAATTCGCTTAAGAAGTGCTCGACATATGGCAAAATATGCAAAAAGTTAAAATTTTTTTTAAGGTGTCCAAACTTTGGATCACTCTACTCATCTAACTATGGGGACCATATTTCCAAAATTGAGGCTCTCCCTATAATTTGGGGGTCATAAATCTGAATCCGTTGAAAAAATGGTATGTTTATTCAGAGAAAGTAGAAATATACTTATAAGTAGTTTTTGTGCCTGATTTCGTAAATTAAAATAGAGTCTGCACTTTTTAATACTCGTTAAGTAACCCCCTTGAACCATTAAGATTGAGTCCTCGAACGTGAAGATCCCATCATTAGATCAAAAGTTATTCTATGTGCTGCGTTTATTCTTTGCGCACTGAACATACATAGAATTGAAGACACGGCAGACCTAACTGTCTATTTTAAAACTCCTTCCGACCACTGGTTTACACGCTACCAAAAAAAGATTTTTTTCTTCATAAAATTGGATAAATTTTATTATAATATGAATGTTTTTCTATCTTGTAGCTCTAATCAATCAAAAATTAGCTTTATCGCACGTTTTTGTGAATTATTTATCTTTGGCCTCTAATGTAAATTTATTACAAATAAAATCAGCATTTTGGTAGCCCGATGACCTGCGAACGAAGTCGAGCACTTTACGATAGAATAGTTTAACGATGACCGTGCACCCTCGGTCCTTCCGCAGGCTGATCAAAAATGTCGCCCATTTGCTGACTAATCACTGCCAGTAAAGCTTGATTTCGGTGTTCTACTAGGAACCGAGTCTTTAGGATCAATCCACCGTGGAGCATATTGTAAAAGTAATTTGCCAAAGAAAATAAAACAGCCACAATAGACAATATGTGATTTTTTTCTTTTTTCTTTTTGAGACGTAGCAAAGTTAACTGTCATTGATTGATTTTATAGATAAATTTTTAATACTATCTCCCTCTTGTTCAAGTTCAAAGAAAGTCGAATTCTATGCCTGGATAGGGATCGAGAATAAGTTAAGCTTTCTAGTTCCTTAACTAGATGAACTTTCTCCTTGCTTGCAAAGTTTGAAGTCAATATTTTTATTATATTTTTATTGTGCATTAATATTAAAAAAAAGAATAAATTGGTAAATCAATCGCGCGTTTTACGAGAACTTGAAGTAAAGTTTTAACTTTAGCACATATTCGTTGGTTACCAAAAATGGAGTCTTAATCAAAAT